CCGAATGGAAAAGGACATTTCAGACCGTGGGGCAGGTGGTGACAGTTGAAGTGGGCCTGTGGTCTGAGTTAAAATGTGGAAACCGGGATGATTTCCTCACTTAGGGTTATGTGGTGGTTCCGTGGGAGAGGTCCCTGTTTGGGGTAAAACACACTGAAGCACCCTGTGTGAAGTGGCAAATGTGGTAAGGAAACGACAACTGGGGGGTCTAAGTGTGGAGGTAAAGCGTATTTGTGCTGCGGTGACAGGTTTACTGCACTTTGTAATCACTGCAGAGTCAATTACTCTTCCAAACAACCATGACAGCACCAGGTCACAGAAGTAGAGACGACATCAAACTTCAGGATGGAGGCCAAACCCTCCCAGATCCAGTTCACCCACGTGAAGAGGCCACTCGCCCTTGTAGGAGGCCACATGTTAGCAAGAGACTTGTGCGAGGATTAAAGCCAGGGCCACTGTGTCTTGGGTACAGTAGAAGCAGTGGAATTTGGAATTCCAATTTTCCACAACGCTCCACCAAAAACTGGTTAGAACTGTGAAAATGCATGAAGGGAAACCTCAATAAAGTGGACTGGGGATGCCAGAAGGGGAGGCTGGAGGGGGGAGCCTACCACTCGGTCAGTTACAGGAACAACTGTCAATTACAGACCCAGCCTTAGAAGCCTCCACAGGAGAGACTCATCAGTTACAGGCCCCAGAGGGAAAGATGTAGGTTTCATCTCCTCCAAGAAATCCACCACCCCTGCAGCTCAGCTGGTGAGAACGCTCCATCACTCCAACCCTGCTTTTCTCCAGTGGACTTTCCTTCAAAACAACCTTCCCAACTTAGCCCACCTTCTCCAAGAAATGTTTCTCTCTCCTTTCTTTCTCGCCTGTGATGTGGCCGTAGCTTGCTTGTCCCGGATTGCAAGTCTCTGCTATTCCCAAATAAACCCATTTTGCTGGTAAAATAACCGGCAGTTTTAGTTTAAGAGTAACAGAACTAATAAATTTGATAAATTTGCAAGGAATAAAACCCATATACAAAAATCAATTGCATTTCTATGTGCTCATAACAAACTATCAGAAAGAGAAATACAGAGAACAATGTCATTTACACCTGCATCAAAAAGAACACTA